CGTCACCCTGGGTCCCAATGGCCGGCCCGGGGGGAACGGAAGGGCCGCGGTCACTCCCCGTGCCAGTGGCCTGAGGGGGGGTGGGCGACCGTGGTCCTCCTCGGTCCTGGTCTGAGGGAAGCGGGCTGTGGTCACCCTCGGTCACCCGCCGTCCCCACGTCTGGCCTGAGGGGGCGGGCATTGCAGTGTGTCAGGCCGAAGCCCGCAGCTGGGACAGCCGTCGGGAAAATCGGAAAGGGGGCCTTTGAACTGGCACAGGTGTTGAGAAAGCGCTTTCCCGGTGGAAGCAACACACAAGAAGGAAAAAGACCAGGGTCCTTGACGTGCCAGGTGCCCCCGGCGTGTTCGTGTACGTTTACGTGTGTCACTTAAGGCAGGGAACACCCGGCACGTCGTCCTGCGGGGTCTCGCAGGAAGGCCTCGGACACCCGCCCGCGGCACACGCTGCACGGCCGAACTTAGAACCCAGGCGGCTGGACCGGCGAAGACCGCCCCAGACGTCACTGATGTTCCCGTCGTCGGGTGTAACGCATTAAAATGTACACTTTCAAAGGTGTTGGTCTTTTATTTCTGTTGTTGCTCATACCAGCTTCCACAGAATTCCGACACTAAGGGGACAACAAAGAGTGAGGTGACATGATGGCACAAGGAGCCAAAGAAAACTAAGCAGAGGATCCTATTTGAAAAGAAACAAGCTCAGACAAGTTATCTAACCAACATCAGCTAGCCAATGAGTGGCAAATGGTACTGAATAACGTTTGATCCGCTGTTTTTAACGTTTTAGTGTTTTTCACAATCCTGCAAATACCATTTTACAGATGATACTGAGGTTCAGAAGGGTTAAGTAATTTGATCAAGAGAACCTAGCCTGTCAGCAAGTCCAAGGTGCAAACCCAATCTCACTGGTTCGTCCCATGTACACAGTTGCATCAAAGCAGAAATACACCTAAGGTTAGACAAAATAGGACAGTATTAACGTGTGTATCAGGGCTAGCATAGGTACAAGGCTGGGAAGATAGACTGGAAGCAGATCATAAGGATTTGTAAGTCAATTTGGTTGATGACGATGTGTATAAACGTATACCTATTTTGTTCCAAAGAAGATGTGAAGCACAGGAAAATACAAATGAGGAAATTGGGATGAAGGAAGAAAGTAGGAAACCAAAG